CTGGTTCCTTCTGGCAGAGCAAGTTTTTTTTGATGACCCCTTAAGAAAGTAACTTGATGTGGCTTTTTTTTTTTTTTTTTTCAGTCTGATGAGGAAGGTGGCAAGGAAAAAGAAGGTGAAGAAGGCCAACAGAAATTTATTGCACATGTTCCAGTGCCGTCTCAACAGGAGGTAAGACATAAGAAAGCTAAGTTGAAGAATTGCACTCTGGATATTGCAAGAGAGATCTTACCTTGTGGCAGGTCATCAGTAAAAATGTCCTCTGTGACTTGCCTCTGCAGCTCTTTAATCCTCTTGCAAATGCTGTGGAACTGGCCAGAATTATGGTACTATTGCTATAACCCTTTTCATCTGAGAATTTCCAAAGCCTTCATAAGTATTACATAAATTGGAAAGTGTCGTGGTGTTATGATCAAAATAACCCTGATTGCCTACTATATCTTTACCGTGCTTTGCTGCTGCCGGTCTAAGTTTTGTTTTTTTTTTTTAATTTAATGGGATGATTTCTGAATTGCAGGCTTTGCTCTCATAAGTTTTCTAAAATTATTTGGTGGCATGACCTTGAATTGGCTATTATATTTTGAAACTGCTCTAGGGTATATACTACCTTAGCATTGACATGTTGTTTGAAATATAACTCAGGCAAGAAGGTTCTGTATCTTTTGGTAGGTATGCCTTTACATCACACAGACGGAATGTGGCGGTTTGTCCCCTGCTCTCATCTTGTCAGATAACAATGCTGTATTCTGCTGTGAAGTCATGATCCTGCACATTCAACAAAATGTACATGTCATGGCTTGTCAAAACTGCAGGAGAGAAATAACAATTAAAAACATTGCTCTCTGGCCGATGGTATTCTTTTAATGAAGAGAGCATAACTGAGAGTCAAAACTGGCTTCCTAATACATAACCACTGATTTACATAGAAATCTCTTCTAATTAGACAGTAGTAACTGTAATCTTTTCTCTTTTTTAGTGGCAAATCACTCCATACCTTATGCCTGTGGGATTATGCCTTCTAGATTCTAAATTACAAAAGCTAAGGATCAGAACACTTATTTTTGAGAGATACTGTGTGCGATTTGGACAAATATAAAATCATTACTGAAATTAAAACAAGTCTTGCAGGTTGCTATTACTAGATCTTTAAAGTACATGTTAATCAGGTATTGCTGGCACTTCTAGATAAAATTCATGTAAGAGGTTCATAGCTGTTGCTAATGTGAAAGGCACACTCACTAAACTGTTATTTCAGGGTTGTGGACTAGTGTAGCATAACTCCACTTGTCTGCATTTGTTAAAGCTGTATCTGAGACAATTGTTTGAAACAAAATTCAAGTGACTGTACTGAGAGTAAAAGAAAGTTGCAGCTAATGTCCTGATTAAAAAGGGTAGGAGCAGAGATCTGAAATGGAGACAGCTGTTTTACTGCTTCTTTTGACTTCCATGAGCTTCAGCTGAATATTAAAAACGAGACCCCTGACTCATCTTAATTCAACTAGTTTTATACTAGTACAGGCCTCTAGCTTTCACAGTCTGTTTCCTGTGTCTTTTTTCTTCCTCCTGTCTTTATAGCTAAGTGTGCTAGGTTTTAGCATCTCAATTAAGCTGAATGTCATCCTATTTTTATATTTGCAGATTGAGGAAGCTCTTGTACGGAGAAAGAAGATGGAGCTTCTTCAGAAGTATGCCAGTGAAACCCTCATGGCACAGAGTGAAGAAGCAAAAACACTTCTAGGATTGTAACATTGCACCAGTGTGTCCTGGTTTTTATATAATCCATCTTAAAGCACCAGGTTTATATGTTCTGGTAGCAATCAGTTTTAGCTCCGAATGTCCCTTTGGATGTTAAGAGTCAACTGATGAAGTTACAGTGTATTCTGTAGAAGGAAAACCATCGTTTTGGTTTATCCACTGAGATGACTTGCACTTCAGTGCTGAAAAAGATCAAACCTAGGTTAGCTTGTCTCTACATCTTCAGCAACTGTCTTCAATCCTTTCACTTTGTAAAACAGTCTGTGCAGTGGTGCCTCTTACAGATAGAACTGCAAATCCAGTGACTCCTTAAATCCTGGAGGAAAACTGACTGATGTTACTGCCGTTCTGTCTGCTGTATCCTGACTGTAAGTGTGCACATATTTTTCATGTTGATTTTTGCTGATCTCAGTCCGGAACTAACTTATTCTATTATGCCTGGTCAGTTTACCAGAATAGCCTAAAACCTGTTTAGAGATACCTTGATGGCAGATCTTATGAGTGACTTTGAAGTTGATTTGGTTCTTTATATAACACATGTAATACGTCTGTGTCTAAAAACGTTAACCTTTTTGTGGTTTGTAACTGTACCTGGGTGAATTGTTTAAATGCTGGATATTTCAGCAACTATTGTAAATACTTCCAACTTTGTAATACCTTGTTCAGATATTTTTACTAAAAACTTATTTACAACCTGATGTCTTGTTTCATTCTAGCTGAAAGGATTGTGTTGTTTCCCTAATCATAGCCAAAGAATGGGATCATAAACAGCCATCCATGTAGGGATTTGAAGCTGTGCATCCCCTACTGCTCGTAGTTTGTGTATCCTGTGACAAGAGGCAGATTGCACCAGAGCCTGTTCAGAGTTTTATGGGTGACTACCATTGTTATACAGGTCTGAATGAATGAAATTTTAAATTGGACATCTGCAGCCATGGAGTGTAAGTGCTGTCTAAGGAATATGGTATTTAACAACCAAGTAACCGTGTCTGGGACTGTTTAGAGTTTCTAGATGCTCTTAGTATTCAGCCCTGTCTATTGTAAATAATCCACTCCAGAACAATCAAAGCTCTGTTACAGAGGCAAGCTTTGTCTTACTTGATGTAAATTATTAAACAAAAAAAGCCTTGAAAAAGTGGGAAGCATAGCTGCAAAATTCAAATCTTAAAAAGGGAATAAATGAAAAACTCCAGTATTGATACCAAGCAGACAACTAACATTACAAACACATTCTTCTCTCTTCCTGTTAGCAGCGTAGCTTTCTCTGCTTTGTAATAAAGCAGCAAACGAGTACGTTTATGACTTATAATAATTTGTGTGATCTGAGTTGCGATACCTATCCAAAGTTGGTTTTGGTGCTGCCCCTTGAGTGTTTTCTGTTCTTGGGTTTAGAGAAGGTGATGTGCTTTTATCCACATGCTGTTTATATTGCTGTAAAAGACAACATTGTTTCCCCAAGTTCCTTCCCTGAAACCCCTGGCCACCAAGAATGAAAAAAATAGGCTCCTTTCGTGTTGGATGTGCTAACGGGTTTACGGTCTAGCAGTACTGCATCAAGAGTAGTGTACTTCACCTATGGAAAAGATTAGCACGTGAAGGCTAAAGGCTTTGTTGCCTGGTACTAAGCCACTAACTGAGTTCCTGGAGCTTAATAAACTGGCAGGCAGTCTATTAAGTCCTCATCACGCTTCAGGAGTGTTGGTCACCAAACCATAGTATGACTGGGG